TTTCCCTTGTAGTTAAAACAGCAAAACACAGGATGTTGAGTCTCCATGCTGCAGTTCCCCCCCCCGCCCCCAGAGCAGAGAAAGCATGGCAGAATACTGAGGAGGGCATATTGATGACAGACCTTTAGAGTGAAAAGGGGGCCCCTGGCTTGGAGCTGGAGTCCTATGTACAGATGCAGGTTGAATGAGGTTCAAGTCAGGGCACAAGACACAAATGCAGCGTTAATGAATAGAGTGCAGAACACGGTTGCTGGTTTAGCAGAGGAGGGGAGATTGAGAGAGAACAGAGGAAAGAAACAGAAAGAGAGACAGAATAGTGTGATCACACTTAGTCCATATTGCAGATGTACAGAAGAGGACCAGAAAGATTTGGTGAAATAGAGACTTCTGGGAAACACAGTCCTCTATATATCAAAGCAGGACTCGAAAGGAGAAAATCTGTCAGTCAGCGTCTGGTATTCTTCTCTCGGCCATTCCCTCATTCACATGTAGTGCATGAGTGAGTGTATACATGTATGATCTTATGTGTTTGTGTTTAGGTAGTGAATTTGTCTGCACATGCGTGTCTGTACTTGTGTGTCTGTGCATGTGTGAATGCATTTGTATGTGTACATGCTTGGGTGATTAAGTTGCAGTTGATCTTGATTGTCAGTGCTGGAGAATTAAAGCTTTACTGTCCAAAGCTGGCAGCTAAATTCTCACCCTTCATGTTCACAGTCTCTCACAAAGAAGTCTCCAAAACAAAAAAGAAAAAAATGCTTGCAAATCTGTAAAACCTTGGATTGAATGCTCCTAGAAGAAAAACAGAGGGAGAGGAGACAGAAAGTGATTTTTAAAAGTAGAGTAATAGGGGACTGTGATATTTCTGCTAGTGTTAAAACAAAAATCATAGTATGAATTGAATGAAATAAATGCATCTTTCCAATGTTTGACTTGGCACTAAAGGTAATGTGGTAATGTTGGTGCTGTTGTACTCCATTTTTATTATTTACATGGATTTTCACAGCTTGATCATGTTGTGAGTCACAAGCTCCCATAAATGTATTCAAATCCACTTTTCACTCACATTAAATGGGCAACAACTTGCAAACACAGTCTTGCAAAAGCAAAGAATTGTTTAACCTGACCTTTCTGTATACAAATTGGATACGGCTGTTTTGTTAAGCTCACACAAAAGTTTCACTGTAATATTTACATCAACCATGCACTAATTACCACTACTAATACTGCTTCATCATCCAGTTAAATATCAAGTAATGAGAGCTTTGTCATAAGTGTATCTATTGCTGGATTAATTTATTAATTTGTGAAATATTTTCTTTCTTATTGTTTACTGTCCTATTAAATATCAATTAATGAACTGCTTTCAAAACACCTGACAAATCTTTCTGTGCACTCATTATAATAAATAATGTCATCCTCAATAATCAAAATATGTATTAGAGCTTCAGTCATGGTCCTTAGTTTGATGATGGTCTGTTGTTTGTACAAAGGCTAAATAAACTCACCTGCTCTTACAGGCTGGTGACACTGAAGCTGTCCTCATTGGCTGGGTCCAGCAGCTGGCACAGTACTCCACCTCCCTGAGTCGCCTGGGAGGGGTAGCGGTGTCCAATGCCCTGGTAAGATTGGTGGGACAGGGAGTAGCTGCTAGTGTCCTCCTGATGAGGCGAGGAGTCCGGGGGAGGTTTGGGGTATGGGGGATGAGGCAGGTGGCCCTGGCGATGGCTTGTGCTCATGCTGTGGGCAGTCAAATCCCTCTTGTGGGGGGTCATGGTAGAGGGAGTGCTGCGATCCTCATAACGTACGGGGGCTGAGTGAGGGTGGAGGCTGGTGCTGGGGTTTGAGTGTGTATGGGAGGGCAGGTGAGTGTTGGGGTTGGTGTGTGCATTGTGGTGGGACTGATTGCTGGTGTGAGGGTTTGAATGGGAGAGGGCGTGGCTCTGGAGGTGTGAAATGGGATGGGTGCTAGTGTGTGAGCTCAGGTTTGTGTGGGGCTGTGTGGTATGAGGATGCGTGTCATGGGGAGTTGTGGTCATATGTGTGTGTGCATTTGCATTTGGGTTAGTGAGTGTACTTCCATGTGTATTTCCATGAGGACTTGTGTGCGGGTTGGTGTGCGTGTGTGAGGCTGTATTTGAGTGTGTGTTGTGTGAGTGTGGGCTGGGGCTGCCACTGAGCGATGTTTGTCCATACCAGTAAGGGGAGCTGCAGTAGCTGGGGGAGTCGTACTGCGAGAACTGTGGGTCTTTTGGAGGAGGGCGATGTGAGGGACTCAGTGCGGTGCCACAGTGAGGTGTTACCCGTGGTGAGGGAGAGCAAGAAGGGGAGAAGGTCCTGGAAGGGATGGGGTGGTAAGACTGGGGTGGAGGAGGGGTGGGCTTGGGAGGGTATGGTGGAGATGAGACACTAGGTGACAGAGAAGAGGAGGACTCTCCAGGGTATAAGGCTGGATATCGCTCCTCAGAGGAAGGTGTGGAGGTGTGGGCAGAATAAGGAGAGGGGTACTCACAGGGGTCCTGGAGGTAGCTGGAAGGTGGTGCAGGATTGGGAGTGGCCAGGGGAGAGAGGCTGCTACTGTCCCCACTGTAATAGTCCAGTCCCTCCTGGAACAGTCCAGATCCCTCTGGACCTCCAGCAGTCACTACTCCTGCCACTCCCGATGTAGAAGCAGCCTTAGCCCTGCCTTTAGCCCCTGATGGCCGCTCTCTCTGGCATGGAGACAAACCACCTCTACCTCCTCTAGACCCTCTGCCCCGTCCTCCAGCCCCTCCCCGCTTAGGTCCAGGAGTAGGTGTTGGGGAGGGGCTAGAAGGGGAATCAGACTGCAACGTGGAACTCCCTTCCTTTTCTAACAGTAGTTCAGTCCGTTTTCTGCGACCGCGGCCAGGTTTGCTGGTTCCCCCGCCCTGAAAGAGGACATTCTGGCTCCAGTTATATGAGGGCCCTGAAGCGCTCTCGTGCCAATCCATCATCAGCTTCTCTAGGCTGGACAGACTTGACTGACCCCCTTCTCCACCAACAGAAATGGCCTCATTCTGCCTGTATGTGCCACCTGTGGAGCTAGGTCCACTACCAGTGGCTGCAGAACTGAGATGTGAAGAGTCAGAGGAGGATTCTGATAAACTTTCAAGAAAAGGTTGACGCTTGGCCTTCTGGGGGGTGTAGTTTGAGATATCCAAGATGTCTTTGGACTCATTTGAGCCATATTCACTGTAGCAATGATACTGAGACCCAAAACTGTCTGATGACCAGCCACCATAACCTTGTCTGAAAAACCATAAACATAGCAACACAAATGATAAAACACACAAACATTACAACACATTAGCAATATGTATTGTAATTATTTCAGCTTGTACCTTGCCTTTTAATTAAAGAAAACATTTAATCACATATTCATTTCAAACACTAGCTTTTTTTTATACTCAGAAAATTCCTGAATACATTGCATTGATTTTAGAGGCTTTTTTCTTTGCAACACAAAATACAGACCATTTACAAAAGAACATGGGAACATTTTACATGTGGTTTGTGTGTGTGTGTGTGAGAGGTTGCATTGTGTGGGTGTGTTCAGCACTATTCAGTCTGGTAATAAGTAAGAGGAAGAAGAAAAAAAGAAAAATTATGGGTGGAGTATTTTTTATCATGACAGACTGCCACAAGTCATTTACCTGTAGCTCCACTGATTGGCGTTGTACTGTTTGTAACCCTCTGGAGAGGAGGAGGAGCTGAAGGGACTTCCTCTGGCCACATACATGTACCCTCCTCCAGGTGATGTGGGTCCTACTGACTCCCCCCGCACTATGGAGGAATGGCCTGCTGCAGGATATCCACTGTAGCCTCGCTTGGCAGCTGCTTGGTAGCTAGAATAACCAATTTGGCCAACAGGGGTGGCCTTGCCACTGCTGTTTCCAGACCCATATGCAAAGCTGCAGTCTGATGATCTCTGTGACACTGCAGGAGAAGAGGAGGAGAAGCCAGAGGAGTAGTGGCCATAAGAGGCAGGATGGGGGGAGCTAGGAGAGTGTGAGAGAGATGGAGGAGTGGATTTAGTATAGGTAGTAGTGGTGGGTGATGTCTGGGCAAGGCTGCTATAGCTGTATGGAGGCCTAGCTGAGGAGCAATGTGTCTGGGCTGAACCCTCCACCCCAGAACTTGTACCCTTGGAGCTCCACTTGGAGAATGCAGTGGACCAACTGTGACCACCAGTAGCTGGGCTGGATGGCTCATAACCAGGGGTGGATGAAGCTTTGCGGGGATCTGACTGTGAGGAGGAGATGTCCAATAGGTCTGACGAATCATCCGAGTCAAGCAGTGACCGGAAATATCCAGTAAAGAGGCCTTGTGAGTCATCTCCAGCTGGCCCAGCCCCTCTGCTTCCCCCTGGACTACTGTAGGTACCTCCCCTTGCAACCTCACAGGAGGAAAAGCCGCTCCTTGGAGATCCACAGAGCTGAAACCCACCCAACCCTTTGTCTTTGTTTATACTCTCCTCCTCCCCCCAGCCACCTGCTCCATTGGGCCAGTCCTGTCCCATGGAAACCCCCTCCCCTTTAAACGCACCATTTTTTCTCATACGCCTCTTTCTGATTATTTTCTCTCCCCTGGGCTCAGTTCCTACAATACCTCCTCTCCTACCAACTCCACCTCCACCCACACCCTTCCCCCTTTTCCTAGGTAATCCATGCTCAGACATTGGGCTCAGTTTCCGTTTCTTGCCAATGGATTCAAAGAAGTCACTGAAGGTGCTCTTATTGCGCTCACTGCCTCCAATGCCCCCTGCTGCTCCTCCACCTCTTCCAGCGCCCCCTCCTCTGCCACCTCGGGGGCGTCTAAACCCAGTGAGCCGGTGAAGCAGGGAGGATATTCCAGGGTTTTCCAAGGGGGCATGAAAGCTTTCTGGCTCACTGGGTGTCCAGCAGCGTGGGGGAGAGCAGCGGCCTGTGGTAGGGGGTTGGCGGTTTAAAAAGGCCAGCTTGGAAAGAACATCACCATATTCTGTTTTCACATCATTAGTATCATTAACATAACATGGATAAGGAATAGGGAGTTTAGTCCGACGTCGTCTCCTGGGCTTTTTGGGCTGCTCTCCATTACTACCAGCATTCCCGGCATTAGGAGACTCTGCTGGTATTCCTGGCAGAGCCTGTTTAGGTGGTCGACCTCGCCTGCGTTTGAGAA